GAGAATCAGGGACGTCTTCTGACCAGCTGATCCTGGGTGAGACATGGATAAATACTGAAGTATCATCGCCAATAAAGTCCGACGACCAGACCCACCGTGGAAAAATGCAAGCCGTTCGGAATAGCGGCTGTTTTCGGCATGAAATACTTCCCCAGGAAGCGGACAACTCGATCTCGGCGCCCCGTTGATCTACGCAGGACCGAGACGAACACTCTGCGAAATAACATGGCGCAGGGGCTACATGCCATATCAGTCCATCTCCTACGCCGCTGTTTAGAATTAAATAATGATCACCGCTTTCTGATAACAAATGACGGGGACGCGCAATACCCCTGGGATGGCGCTAGTTAGTCTGTACTAGCGCTGGCACTAGCAAAGCTTGACCCAACAATGGCGCAGGAGAATCCTGCTGCCTAGCTCGGATTGGTCGCCCTCGGCAGACGTGAAACAATTTCCCCAGCATGAAGAACTGCCATTCGTGCAGATTTGATCCAATTGCTCTGACGTACGATCACCGGGGAAGGTCACAATGAAGTGCAAATGTCCCTGCGTAGCGGATATGGAGGGCTGCGAGCTCGCTTATGAATTACTGTGATGAGACCCCCCGGTGACCTGACCTAAATATGACCCGTCTCTACCATGGTATCGCCGAGCGCCATCAACATGTTATCTTCAGCGGGCCTCTCCAAGACATTTAGTGTACCCATAAAAGTGATACCACTCGTCATTGCCACTGTTCACCAATACTTTTCGGGTTAGTTGGTCCGTCCTACTCATAAAATTTGTATGCGATTATCCAATTTCATCATGCTTAAGCGATATCTGCGGGCTTTCGGTCTGCTATCGTTTGGCTGTCGCCTTGTCCCACACGTTCCCCCTTTTGACCGGTCGGTTCGGGGAATCAATGACATGCGGGATTTTCCCTCAATATAATGCTGAACCCGCCGTTCCTTTGCTACTGAAACTACGCTGTTGTTTCATCTTTTCACTGTACCCAGTGTATTCTTCCCCGGCAGTCCTTTTTTGGCAGTCCTCTGCCACACCCCTTGACTGCGGCATAGCATTCTTGTTCGGACCCAATATGCGCCACATTCCTGCATGGTTCGTGGCCTGTCTGGCTGCGGCCACCGCCTCGGCCTCTGCCCCGACTTGCAGCACCGACAGCAAGTGTCCGGAAGAGTACCCGTGCTGCTACAGTGAGCACACCATGCCTCGTAATTCACGCATATCCTGACATATTATCTTCAAGGTGGACAATGCGGTGTAGGAACCTACTGCCTGGGAGGTTGCAACCCTCTTGAATCGTACTCGCTCGACAGCTGCACGCCCGAGCCCATCTGCAAGAACCAGACCTACTCGTTCACAAGCATGGACAACGCAGTCCTGTACGACCACTATCTTGGTAACGCGTCCGAATACGATTGGGTGTACAGCGGCTACCCCAAGATCAAGAATGAGAGTCTGTGGTTGACGATGCCCAACGGCACGACGGGCAGTCTGTACGCCCTCAACCATTACATCTGGTATGGGAAGGTGTCGGCCAAGATCAAGAGCAGCCGGACGCAAGGTGTCGTGACGGGTTTCATTCTGATGTCGGATGATTTTGATGAGATCGACCTTGAATGGGTTGGATACAATCTGTCGAGCGCGCAGACCAACTTTTACTTCCAGGGTGTAGAAAACTGTATGTTCGCAGCTTGTCTTTCTCGTCTTTCAAACTCACAATTCCAGATACCAATGAAGTCAACGCTGCCGTGTCTAACGGCAACACCTTTGACGAATGGCACACCTACACCATCGACTGGAAGCCCGACGTGTTGGAATGGCTCATCGATGGCACCGTGATGCGCACACTGACCAAGAACTCCACCTACAACGCTACCTCGGGTGTCTACCAGTACCCCCAGACGCCGTCTCGGCTGGAGATGTCCATCTGGCCTGGTGGTTCGGAAGCCGAAGGACTGGGTACCATTGAATGGGCTGGTGGTCTGATCGACTGGGACAGCACGGATATCAAGGAGTACGGCTACTTCTACGCGCAGTACAAGGACATCACGATCGAGTGTTACCCTGCCCCGGCTGGAACTATCGACAAGGGTGACAAATCCTATGTGTACACCAGCGACAGCGGTCTGTCAGACACCATCGAGCTCTCCGGCAACAGCACCGTTCTCTACAACCTGCAGGATACTGGCCTGAACATGACGGCTGGAACCAAGATGTCGGACTCGGCAACAGCCTCTGGATCTAGCTCCGGAGCCAGTAGCACCGGCGGCAGCAGCAGTGGAGACAGCAGCACGAAGAAGAGTGCCGCGTCTGGGTATGGTGAGCGCGTGATGGAGGGATCGGTCCTCGCGGCAGTCGGTGCAATGGTTGCGCTGAGTCTATTCTAGATGGGTGGTACACGGTTTCAAGTATGAACGTGGCACGCGAGATGCTTGATGTGGTATATATTCCCTTCGGATCTATATTTTGAAAGGTGTATGAATATAGTGTACTTAATCGTAATATTGAGTAAATGTACATATAACAATCGCACTGAACATACAATTGTCCTACAGCGGATTGAATCAGCCAATGACATGGCCAACTACATTATGTAAACTTTCTAAAGATCCTGCTATATCCATCGATAAAGCTACCCTATGATACCACAGACAGACACAGTCACACTCTGCCTACCCCCACCACCCAGGAAAAGGAGAGTCTACAACTCAGCAGGTACCCCGGTACAAGCAAGACACAAATTCCGCACCAGCCCAATCCCCAGAATAGCACACAGCAACATTCGCCAAGTCGACTCATCGCCGCTCTCCATCCACGCTTCCTCAAGCCTACAAAACCATTCACCCATCCCCATCTCCACCCGCATCATCATCACCACCACCACCACCACCACCACAACAACAACACCAACCCACACCCCCCTCCTACCCAATCCCCCCTTTACCCCTCCCCCTATATCCCCCCTCTTCACCCTCCCAACCCACTCCTCAATAACACGAACAACAATCCCACTCCCCTCAAGCACAACCGGCACCCCACTCCCAGGATGAGTACTGGCCCCAACAAAAAACAACCCCTGGATACTCTCATGCTGAATCCTGGGTCTAAAACATAAGACATTGAGAAACGAATGCGACAGGCCGAGTATCGCCCCGCTATCCAGATTGTATTTGTCTTTCCAGGTCAGTGGGGTTTCAATCCTTTCGCATGCTATGTGTGGTTCGATGTCGTTGCCTGTGAGGTCGTGAATAGTGGAGAGGATCAGGGCGCGGATTCTTTGGGCAGTGGTGTGCCAGTAGGCGGTTGCGTTGTGGGGGTTCAATGGGGATGTTGGTGATGAGGAGGAAGAGGAGAATGTTGTTGGGGAGAGAAGGTGAGGGACGGGTACTAGGACGACGATAGCGTCTGTGTTTTGTGGTGAAGCTGAGGGGTCGATTCGGCTGGGGATGTGTAGGTAGAATGAGGGATGTTCGGGGATTTGGTGTTTTTTGAATATAGCGTCGAAGCTGGATTTATATTTTGATGAGGGAGAGAGGAATATATTGTGGGATTGGAGGTTCGGGAGGGTGGTGTCCAAACCCCAGTAGAATGAGATGCTGCTGCATGAGGTGGGTTTGTTTTTGAGGGATTCGCTGTAGATGGTCTTCGGGAGCAGGTTGTTGTATGCGTAGGTTAGGTCGGCGTTGATTATTACGATGTCTGGTGGGAGGAATTTGCCGCTGGAGAGATGCACCCCCGTTACGTGCTTGTGGTCGTCGCTGAGGGCGATGGAGGTTACGGGCGTGTTGAGGATGTATGTGGTGTTGTGGCGGATGCTGATTTTGACGAGGGCGTCGAGGATCTATATGTCTGTTAGTTGGGGTCATTGATAGTAGAGAGGGAAGAGGGCATGAAGGTACGGTTCTGAATCCACCAACAGGATACCATATACCATCTGTCATCTCGGTATACTGTAGCAGAGAGTACGTCGCTGGAGCATCAAACGGGCTCATGCCCAGGTACATACTGGCGAACGTGAACGCCTGGCGGAGTTTATCGGAGTGAAAGTACTGACTCGCACGGGTATATATACTTTCGAAGACGTGGAGTCTGGGTAAAGCTAGGAGGAGATCCCATCTAAGTAGACTCCAGATGGTTGCGAAGTTACGGTGCAGGATATGTTCACAGGACAAGGTATAGTGTCGACCGGATTCAACCAGGAAGTGTAGGAATCCTTCGAATCCATGTGGTCCTTCGTAGGCTTCTATTTGCTCTTTCATCAAAGGAATGTCAGTGGATAAGTCGATATGGTCGTGATCCGGAAACCATATTCGGTAGCTAGGGTCGCATTTGCGCAGTGTGATGCCTTCAGCGGAGATGGAGGTGTCTAGGTCGTGGAACATTTGGTGAAAAAAGGACGGCATGAGGAGGAGGGATGGGCCTTGGTCGAAGCGCTACAGATGTTAGTATCATCTTGGGATATATGGAGGGACGCACGTAGTCATTCTCTTGCATTAAAGAACAACGTCCACCGATGTCTGCGTTCTTCTCCACCACTGTCACTTTGTAGCCCTTTTTGGCGAGGCGCGCTGCGACAGCGACGCCGCCGGCACCACCACCTGTTTGCTGAGTAGTTAGAGACGGATAGAGAAGATGCAATGTGATTCGCACCGACTACTATGGCAGTGGGGTGTTCCATTGACCCAAGAGCAGGCGCTTTAGGATGTGAAGGTAGTTGTTTGATTCTCTAGCTCTTACAGCTGGGAGTTGATGTTCATACAGTAAACCATGTGCGTGATATGGCCAAGCCATATGGGTGTCATAAGCTTTATACTCAAGGGATCTGGCATTCACCACGAACAGAGCAAGTGGGTGACGAGACAGACGAAATGGTATCCACGGCTCAGACCAAGCACCAACAGGAAAACGTAAACCCAAAACAACATAAAGACGCCTAGACTGTATGACAACCGAACTTACTTTCGGGTAATCCGGGTATAACATACAGGAACAAGCTAATTGACTCCCAGCTCTTCCGCCTCCCAATCATACGCTACTTTCAGTCGCTCCCCCATTTCCAGAGGCTGGTCCAACCTCTCCGACAAGATTTCGAGCACAGCAGGTACATCCACCTCCATGTTATGCTGATCATCCACCGGATCTATCATCAGTACCGCATATGGTTGATCCCGCATGCTTGCGGCCTCATAGAAAGCAAAGTCCGGTCTGGACGTGGGCATAAATTCGATCAACAGCGTATCCTCTGCAGCCCAGAAATAATTATGCAGAGCACTTCCGTGAGGACCAATCACTGCTTTCACGTTTTGATGAACGTAGCGCATCAGCGCGTCAGTGCTGGGGAAATCCTTGTGGTTGAAGACTTTAAGTTCTTCTCTTTTCCCTCTCTTATCGAGAAGTGATTGGATATCTGCCAGGAGAATATCCTCGTTAAGGACTTCTCTGCCAGCATTGAGGATCAGTCCGTTCGATCTCGTCATGTATAGAATTATTTTGCGATCTGCCTTTTCCACTGGCTGAAGACTATCAGGACTGAGGAGAGAAAGAGATCTCTGTGTCAGCCACGGATGGATAAGCGGTGCACGACAACTCCATATAAGCTGCGATGCGACAAAGCTTGTATCGCTATGGAGCACCTGGTCTGCGGGATATCCGAGGTATGACCAAAACTCCTCAACGGAATTGTGTCCCTCGCGTCCAGTAGCTACGTATTTGGTCTGGTGGTCCCGCGACTGAGCCACTGCCCGCATGCCACGGTCGAGAAAGTGCTGCATCGACCACGAGTCTGGGAAGTTTGCCAGCAGCACGCTGTCATGAGTGGGCTCGTCGCTGCTAGGTACAACATGAGAGGTTGTGGCGAGGCCGGACATACAGGCTTGCATGATCCATTTGTCGAAGGGTGTAGAGGGAGATAAGGTAACATTTTCAAATACCTGCAATATAAGTATCTGTCTCTTGGGCAGGGATGTGTACGCTCACATATATCTGACCGTGCTTTTCAGGATAACGCACTCGACCTTTCATCTCATAAGCCCGTTCCCACATCATCCACGTCGTGTTCCACCACCGTTCTGCATCGCGAGGACGGGATGTAGCGAATATTGGAGGGCTTATGGTAAAGGCAGGGTAGATCAGCTCCTCAGCGGATACTACATTCCGTAGTGTCCGAGCCATACATGGTGCATAGTATCCGGGGGTTGAGTCAGTGCATTCTGTCAGTCTGAGGGGACGAAATCGGTCGGGTTTTGTGCGGGATACAGTTATATGCTTCCCCGGGTCCAATCCAGGCGTGGCAACTCGACTGGTGTAGTCTCCGATGTGCTTGGTTTTGTAGAAGATGAAGAGGAGCGAAAGAGATAGTATAAACGAGAAAAATATGCGCCGCATTGTGGTAGCAGCAGCTATTTGAGAGCACAGTATACCCTCAATAATTCCTAGGTGTATTAATTGGAGTCCAGTAGGACGCGACTGGATATCCAGCTTGGTTCTGTTCAAAACGGTTCATTCCAGTAGACCAAGTCTGTATGCTAAGCCCCAACGATGACGCATAGCCGTACTTGGCCACTGCAGATCTAACTGAAGACCAGGCCATCGTATTGACTGCTTCACCTTCCATTAACTATTGGGTTCTCCTGACGCACTGCCCCTGTGCTCGATCCTCTGCCGAGCCCTTCCTGTCAGCTTACAGTTTGGTACGCCAGATGTGCGGCTCCTGCTCGGACGCGGATTCGGCACCTCGGAGTTGGTTACGAGCCTGTGCTGACAACGTCGGTCATAGTATCCATTGATCAGCAATTTCAGGCACGGAAACTACTTTCAGAGTTATGCTGACCGGGCTGGGAGTATAGTGGGAGGATGAAAAGTGAGTTAAAAGGGGTAACCCAGTTGTGCTGACAAGGCTGGCTAATCATGATCGCTGTCTGCAGCTAATGCATCAGAAAGGCAGGTGTTGATTAGTGCAGATCTACTAAATCAGGTGATGATCTTCATGCTGCGGGGGAATGCCGAGTAACGCCAACCCACGTAAGATCTTCTGCTCCCTATTCAAAGCCACCCCTCCTGCCAATAGCCTTCAAAGTAGTCCTAAATAAAACAAAACAAGTTCTAGTGTGTATCCGAAAATCCACTACGGTCACCTGCTGGCACGGCTGACGAGGTTTTCCACTTGATATGACCAAGCGACCGACTTCCGGTCTACAATCTTGGACATATACATAGACGCCAGAATTAACGGCGGAAAGAGAACAGATGCAGCTGCAGTCCACGCCAGGATGATTACATGCCAGGCGGACTCATCCTGCTGCGTCTGCCAGAAATCCGTCCCCCACAGATAATGGCACACAGCCTGCAGGATGCGGTTGCGCACGATCATGATAAATAAAGGATGAAACAGATACAGTGAGAAAGAAATCATCCCGAGAAATTGCGCTAGACGAGTCTCTAGCGGAATCCGCAGGAATCGAAGATGCCTGAGCGTTCCAACAACGAGGATCGCCCCAATAGCGTGCCATCCCCGGATGCGGATCTCGGGATCTACATAGAACGGTAGCTCGAGGGAGGATTGAAACGAGAAGTCTGGTGGAAAGGTTGAATCTTGTGGGAGGCACAAGAAATAAATCCCGCTCACGAAGAGTAGACCGGGGAGGAGATTTGCAAATTTTCTGACAAGGGTGGTCGGTTTTCTCTTCTGTCCAGCCGTCAATAAATCCCAGGACGTTTCACGCAGTGTATCGAGTTCCGCAAACATGAGACCAGAAAGAAAGGCCGATAATATAGGTGAGCCGAACCACATGAATGTGGCACTCAGGCAGGTGATTGTCACCAGCCGCACCATAGGTCTGATGGATGCAAGGCCGAGTAGGACCAAATAAACCGCCAGTGAGCATTGGTATTCGTATGAGATTGTCCACAAGTGGAAATTATACCCTGTCACATAGAACGGCCCGCTTAATTGAAGAGTTGTCAGGAAGGTCATGGCAAGACAACTGAGATGAGGTTGCAGCGCTGACCAGGGCTGTGCTCCAGGACAGCCCTCCTGATCACCCGGCGTCCAGTCAATCAGGCCCATGTAATAAGACAAATGGGAGATGAGGCAAAGAGTTAAAACTGGAATGTAAAGTCGGAAACCACGGCGAAAGACGGAAGACGTAAGTTTTCGATAGAATTGAGCCGGAGCATCATCACGGAGTCGTATGATGGAGGTCGACACGGCATAGCCTGAGATGACAAAGAAGAGAAGAACCATTGACTGTCCAGCAAACAGTAAGCGAAACGGCGGTAACTGGAAGAAGCGGCGATTTTCAGCCGCGGGGACAGCCCAGAATGATCGATAGGGAGCTCTCATTTCTCCCACCGTGAAGTGGAACCAGGCGACAATAGCCGCAGCCATGCCTCGCAGGCCATCCAGCCAATATTGTCGAGCTTTGGCCGAACCTGCTGATGCCATATTGAGTATACGACCGGAATTAGGGGACGCACTTCTGAGTAAGGAGGATCAGGTGTGCTGTGATATTTTCGTCGAGTGGGGGGTTTAAGAAGCATGGCCGAGGTGCAGCCCCGACAATCGGACTCCTGCCACGGCCGATCCTGCATTGAGTCGGCAAACAGATCCTACCTATTGAATAACAAGGCAACGTGGTACCTAGCATAGCCCAACATAGGGTCACAAGGTTGGTGACATTCTTGATGATAGGACGGGTATGTGAAGATCCCGGAGATGATGCTCCGTAGTCCGACGGGGAGCCATCCGATACCAAATCCCGAAGCCACTAAACCCAGGCTGCATCATTCGAGGCGACCAGCATAACCAATCTGGTAGTGAGATGAGTCATAGCCTATCAGCAGGGTCTGAATACGAGGTAAATAGTAGGAACCCCCGCAGCTAATGCAGATCACAGATTTATTATCTTCCTCGTCATATATCGGTGTCCACGGCACATCGTCAACGGGTTCTTGCGTAGCCAACCAGATTGCTCAAGATGCCTCTGTCCATGTTGCTAGGGTCAATTCTGACAGAAGTGGTTCCTTCAGGTGATTAGTAAATATCCAAAGCTATTACTATATTAACGTGGAAATAGGCAATGAGCCATATACGTTGGATTCCGAAGGAGTTAGAAAAGATGCAAATACGCACCTGCCGCATTCATTGCTGATTTACGCGGAATCACCAAGGTAGATGATGCCCTGACCCAATCGCAGTGAATAATTGTTGTTGCCAGAATCACGTTTGGCGACTGTAGTGCCGGAGGTCAGAACTCATACATCCATATCCAGTCTATATGTGGGGAATCGTAGCTTCCACCGAGTTGGATGTGCTTGATTCCCTTGGCCTTGATGACACATTACTCAGCGCTTAACTATGTGATGACCAGTGTACAGTTACTGAGTCACAGGATGCAAGTTTGCTACCTGCGGCCGCCTGAAGACCGCGTAGACTGTCCCAGCATGGGCCGATCGTTCACACGGCACGTTCCATCACTGCCATATTCAGGGACTGCGCAACAAAACATGACCATCCTGCCAACATGAATGAATGGCAGAATGCATTGGCATCAGCACTAGGTTGACACGCCATGAGCCGTCAAAGACTGAGTGCTGAGGCTCATGACTGTTCTAGACAATGCGGTTAGCATTGCCACCTGGACCATGGCCAGGCACCGACTCAAATCACATATATTGCAACCAAGAGGGTAGGACAAGTTTCGTATTACGCTTGGGAGAATACTTTTTCTTTGGCACTTTTTCGGTCTCACGGCCTGAACCGTTTTGTGCTATTAAGAGCCTTACATTTTTCCGTCATGTATTACATACCCAAGCCGTTGAAGCGACACAATGACATGGGCTCTGGTCAGCGATTAGTGTCCCTGGCTGAACGAACTCTCAATTTCCTTGGTTGTATTGTTGCGGCCGCGGTATACTTCTACGGCTTGATGTATCTTAAGCAACCCTTGACCTTTGACATGATAGTCAGTATAATTCTGGCCGAGTATTGTCGATGGAGAAACAACAAGAGGCGCAGAGATGCAGCTCTGCAGGAAGAGAACGGTAGTTTTGGCCTTGCTGAGAAGGGCAAGTCAAGCGAGCAGAGGTTGGACTGCGTTGCGGCTATCGTTGGGTATCGGGAGGAGCCCACCCTGTGGAAACAGGCATTGGGGAGCTATTCACAGGCCCAGAATTGCAGGTTCCTTCTTGTATGTATCGACGGGGATACAGAAGAGGATCAGGAGATGGTTGAAGTCTTTCAAGATGTAAGTGATCATCCTCTGTCTGTGTAATAATTTATTAACATTTCCTGGCCAGGTTTACCCGGAAAAGTCTGCATTGATGCATCTAGATATCCCTTTAGCAGAGATTGCCATGCAGATGGATCGAGCAAGATCCTCCAAGACAAGCGATGCTGAGATTATCGCTCAATGCTGTTCGGTCGCCAGAGGAGCTCTCGAGAAGAGTGGCATCACTTTAGTCGGCGAGAAGGGAATTTCTAGGCTGTGTGTTAGTCAGCCGCATATGCACAAGAAGGGTATCATGTTCACCTCCTTCATAATCTCCTTGGTGCTCTCAGATATTCTCGACATCGAATTCTTGTGGACATCCGATTCAGATTCAATTGTGATGCCCGATACATTAACACGTACGATGGCAACATGTGCTGCAGATCCGGGAATTGGGGGTGCTAGCACGGCACTCACTATCCACAACAAAGATGAAACAGTTATCACACAGCTTGGAAACGCGGTCTACCTGAATGAATTGTATCTGGCACGTTCCTTCACTGGCGCAGCAGCAGCAAATGACTGCCAAAGTGGACCGTCTGCTGCTTTTCGGTTTTCTGCAGTCAGTGGAGAGTTGCTGGCTTGGTATAAGCAAAATGTGTTCGGGCATTGGATGGTGAGTATTCCACGCCACGATATCAGCATGGACTGACCGTGCAGGTTGTGAACGAGGATCGACATTTGACCACACGTCTTCTTCTGAAAGGTTGGAAAGTGGTTTTCGCATCCGACGTTATGACTGCCACTGAGTCACCCACAACATTCAGGAGATGGCTGTTACAGCAGGTACGTGTCCAGAGGGAGATGTGCCCCGGATAAACAATAAGGCATTATTCTGATATATATAGGTTCGCTGGGGCCGAGCTGTGCACGTCGAGAGTTTCCACCGACCGAGCGTGTACCTAATGCACTCACCGATATTGTTCTTCGGCGCCCTGCGGCGACAATTTGCTGCCTTCGTCGTGCCCCTAACTGTTGTCCTGTACCTCTCTTCTGGGATGCTCCTAATCCGAGCCTTCTCATTCCAGGATTACACCCATCGCCTGGGGCTGACAATCTCCTACCTTGTGTTTCGTAACCCATACCGACCAACTATGAAGGAGTGGATGTGGAGTCTTCCCGCACATCTGTTCTATCATGTGCCGTTGCCTGCCATTCAGGTATGGAGCTTTCTTACAGTGCTCCATGACTCTTGGGGAACGACTATGAGAGCCAACAAAGAGGTGAGGCATTCGAAGCTGCGACTCAAGGTTTGGGAGGTCGGATTCTTTGTCTTTTGGATGGCCATCCTGGGCGGTGCCTCGGGGAGGTATGTTGCAACGTCGCTGATGCCAGGTTCGGCTGACGTGGTGGCATTTATCCTTGCGGGTATTGTGTCCGTCTTGATTGTGGGTGGGTGGTGGACAGTTGTCGCGAAGTGAGCCGAGCTGTTGGTTTTGCTGCATGAACGGGGTGGCCATGAAGGCTTCCCCGGGCCGACATACCAGAAGTGTATATATGCTTGAGTATGATGTCCTGGACAAGTAGGAGAGTCAAAAAATATTGAGAAAGACAATCTCAAAGGAATGATAGACATGCCATGCCAATGCAAGGCTGAAGGTATGATGGCAACGGAGAAGAGAGTTGAAGAAACGCGACGTCGGGAAACGATTCATGTCTCCCAGTCACCTGATCAGCCTACTATACGAACAAATGGTACCATCGCTTCTCATCAGTATTGTGCCCTTCGTTAGACTAGTTATATTAGTAAGTACTAACTTCTGAACATGCATTCGCTCATGAAGGATTTTTTAAATGATTCTCTGGAGGTATATATTCCGTGATCGACCTAACAATGGCTCAACATAACATCTACTTCCTGTTCGCCAAAAGCTTCTTCTTCGTCCTGTCAGCACACGCCTTAGCATCGAAGATACCATTGACGCTAGGATGCTCCCGAGTAGCCTGTGCCCAACGGTTGAAGTTCTTCGCCTCCGCCAATCCCTCCCAGATTGCGGGATCAATCAGTCCAGCCTCCTTATCCGCGAATGCGTGCAGACGGATTAAAAACGATCCAAGCAGCACCTCCACCAAAGTCAATTTGTCACTACCACCGAAGAAAGGTCCGTGCTCTTTCCCCTCCAATCCCTGGTACAGGAGCGGCTCGATCTCCTTCTTGATAGCAGCTACGTAGCCCTCAACGCCGGCCTTCCGGTCGGCTTCGGTAGCACCACGCAGTGCGGCGTTGTAGTGGGGGGCAGCTTTGCTGGAGTAGGTGTCGACGAAAAAGGCGATGCGGGCGCGCTGCAGAGCACCCTCGGGGGTGTTTGAAGGGGGCACAAGGTGGGAGGGGTGTGCGTCGGCGAGGAATTGAGCGACGATGCCGGATTCGGTAATAACCTCACCATTGTAAGAGAGGGAGGGAACGAGACCGCGCTTTTATGGAGAACATGCGTTAGCTAATATTGGTGGGAGGTGGATATGAAGGTTGGACATACCGGGTTGACTTCCAAATACCATGGCTCGCGTGGGGTGTCCAAGTCAATGGTGACCTCTTCGAAGGGAAGACCAAGCTCCTGGAGAACAATGTGGGCGCGATGAGCCCAGGGGCAGGTACGATTGGTGTAAAGGATGATCTTGGGGGAAGACATGATGAATATGTGTATCGATTAAGGGAGTTGACAGCTGTCAAGTGGTGAAGACGAGAGGCGGGACCGGCGGGTATAAAAACGCCGGCAGAAGCGGGGCATCGGCAGATGGAACCGGCGGGGAGGAAAACGCGGGAGGAAGAAAGCTTACACGTCCGACGGGATTATTAATGGCCTGCCCGCCGGGTGATTTCCCGCCTGAATGGCATCACTTCGGGCCTATCAATTATTCACCAAGACCATATATCGCTACTCACGTACAAAGACCAAAAAAATTCGTCATCAAAGACGTTAAATTGCACAATCGGGGTATAACCTATCTAAATTATACTCTTGAAAATTTATGTATATGAGAACAAGATGTATTGCATGCAGGGTATATGATGTGCTCGTAGCCACGTAATATGTCATGGAGATTTCTCGTAATAAATATAATGTTGATGCTAAACAGGGAACGGTTGCGACTCGCGACGAAGTCGACTGGCCCGACGACCAGCATGTTTCTCGCGATCGGCGGCTAGCGTCTGGGCAAACTTGCTGCGACGACGAATTTCGGGGCCCTTCCAGTAGAAGACGTAAATCGGAATGGCCACCAACGCGGCAATGCACCCCAGCAGGGTACTACCCCAGGCCAGGTGAAACTTGCCGCCAATGTTTTCATACAGAGGAGTCGCGTACATGGTCGCAATACCAGCGAGGAAGTCACGAGCAAACCCGTTGCCGCCGGTCGCAGAGGCAGAATAGGCACCGTAGGCAGCGACCATGTAATCAATCGTAGCCATGTAGATGGAGTAGTTGGCGATGGCGATCAGACAGGCGAAGATGAGGGGAGCAATCCAAGGAGCATAGGCAGGGCCGATAGACGTCCATGCAAAACCCAGCAGGCCAATGGGCTCGAGGGGAGCTAGGAACAGTAGTAGAAGAAGACGGCGCTCAGCAAGACGGGCAGCATTGCCTTCCTTCTTGCGGATCTGGCGTTGCCGCCAGACATCCGGCAGGAAAATAAGGTATGCGATGACATAGCCGATGAGAATGGCACAGAAAGCCAGGCCATTGGTGAGGGTGTTGAAGCCCCACTGATCGAAAACAAGCGTGAAGGATTCGGTGAAGGTGAAAATGAGAGCATCGGAGAAACCAGATAGGAGTGACAAACAAAGGACAATGGGCTCGCGAATGAACATCTCAAACGGACGTCTCCAGATCCTCAGCACCTCTTTGACATTCAGGCGGCTTTCCTTCAATTCATTAGGGCCATAGATGTTGGGATCTTCACCAGACTTGCGGCGGCGCTTGGCTTCGCGATCCAAGAGGATGGTCGCCCTAGTTTCAGGAACCAACACAAAGTGCAGAGCTTGAGTGAAACCTCCGACAATCAATTGCACCCAGAATACCCATGGCCACGTGAGGTACTGCCCAATGAATCCACCAAAAACGGGTCCAATCGTAGACCCGCCCACCGAAGAAAGCACGACGTATGCGACCGCGAACCCCTGGTCATCAACTTCCCACATATCTGCAGTCATACCCAGGGTGACGGAACCGCCAGCAGAGCTCAGACCACCCAGGAAACGGCAAACCACAATGGTACCAAAATTAGGTGCCAAGGCGCAAGGGATCTGCCAAATATTGACTAAGAATAGACTGAGCTGCATGATCGGCCAGCGCCCGAATTCTTCACTCCAGGGTGCCCACAACTCACAACCGAAGGCGTATGCAACCAGGAAGATCATCTGCCCGACACGGGCCGCTTGAGCGCTAACATTGAACTCATTCTCAATGCCCGTGAGAGCATCCGAGTACACGCCCGTGTTGAAATTCATGGACATTTGAACCATGAAAATCACAGTTAGGATGGTCCATTTCTTGTACCAAGGGAAGCAAAAGCCAAGTTTGTCATAACAATCGTCCTCAGTTAGCTCCCGCTTGCCGTCAGATCGCTCTTTCTTGGACAGATCGGTATCGCTTCCAGATGTTGGCTGGGAGGCATGCTCAGCCTGTTGGGCGAAGGGATCGTCCGATTCCGATCGGCGGGTCAGGTTTCTAAGAGCATCGTCTGTCTTGCCAGACTTCTTCTCGTCATACATACTCTGATCGGCAGGGGCACCGCTCTGCGGCGTGGGCTCAGTGGCCGTCATGGTGATGGAGTAGAAGGCACACTCTAGGAGAGTATGGGAACCCTTGTCATGCGGGGTGGAGAAGAAAGAAAGAAAGATTATAGAAAAGACCAATCAGTGTCTCGGGGAGATGAGAGGAAGAGGGGGTTGATTGGACTGAGGATGATGCTGGAGTGACGATTAATTGCAGACGGGATGTGAGGGATCTTTATAGATCGCTGATCTCTCGTGGAAGGTATTTCTCCTGCACGCCGGTACATTATTCTTCCTCCGGGGCACCTGGTATCCTGGAGTGCGGAGCGGATGTCTGCCATCAGTGGCATGACGTGAGGGCTTACCCATGGGAGTCTCATTAGCAAATGGCAAAGGATGGGTATCCCAAAAGGGTAATCCGAGAAGCCGTTCGCTAAAGAAGCCTGATAACGATGGCAGTCGGGGCTCGGCGGAAGAGATCTTCTCCCCTCGCTGGCGTCATAGTTCCGGCCCGCCAGACCAGGAGCTGGGGTCCCCAATCAGAGGCGGGGACTCCTATATTATTCAGCTCGGACCATCATGCTAAGCACAAGAGTACTTTGTATGAGCCACATAAAATTCCGTATGATTGGCCACGGCGGCGAGAGGACATGCATCTAAATCGGAGGTGTTGGGGTTGTTGTGATTGTTGTGATTTTGTGAAAGTAACTGATTGTGTGGCGACCACTGGGGTCGGTTTCCTTCGACGCGGGAAAAGATCGGAGAGACACATAACACACGGCCGAGGTGCAGCCGGATGTGCCAGGTTCAAGGTACAGGGCAGGCTTCTTCCGAATGGCTCAGAAAGTGGCCATGCATGCGGTTACCCTGGACTTCGCGACAGGCTGTGGAGTAGACACGCTCCATTGTAGTACAAGATGCAGAAGCAATGCACGGTCACCTGCTCAGGCTAACCCGATCGGCACGACTTCTTGTCGGCCGGGGCCGGCGGTGAGCCGTGACGTCACCAACATTTTTACTAACCACCAATAATATTGCAGTATCCCCTTAGTACTACTCCTAGTTAGGTCTAGTCAGGCGGCCAACTGGTTTCTGCCTGCATTCTGCCGCCCTTCTCCGGCCGGAGCCTACACAGTCCAAAGTACCATAGTAAGTAGGTAGTCTGCACTGTCTGCTACTAACAGCAGCAGTCCACCTCCTGCTCCTTCACCCTCCATTTCCCCAGTCCCTTCTCCGCGTCCCTCCACGGCAATTTCAAAATTCCTTTCTCCTCCACCATGACGCAGGGCTCAGCTCGCGTGTCAACTGACAACGTCACTTTACGCTTTGATATTGTTCCCCAACGTCATGATCCATGTGGTTGCTGCCAGAAGCCCTCCCTCATGGTATAGGGGATGATATCGGGTCGGTCCTTGCAATCCAGTGTCTAGCCTCTTGGCTGCGAGGCTAATCCATACACGTACAACCTCTATCGGCTTGGAACCATGCAGGTATTCCGTCTCCCTTGTGCCGCCTGGCCTCGCATCCCGGCCTCCCGATGCAACCCGACGCCACACCCTAATGTCGACCCGAGGAACGACGTCGCGTCTAGGGGAAGAAGTATGATACGTCTCAACAAGGTTCACGCACATTATGGTCCGGATAATTTCTATAGCCGCTAATTCTCTCTCTGGTCAGATGGACAATATTCCTCCATCAACGCCTTCGAGACCATAGGTGAGTACATCAATCATCCTACGCAGTCTCATTCGCAAAAAGTCGAGACTCGAGTGGGAGGAACAACATTTCCGTAACCATGTTTCCTGTTGGTGCTCCGCGTTTCTCGCCCCCGCTCCCTCCGTGGCACTAAATCGGTGGACCGCAACGAAGTATTTCATCGGCGGTTCTCATTGACTGAGTTGCGACCCACAGTGCATCATCCCCTTCCCATCCACGCAGACAGCCATCCAAACCGGTTCGCCTGCAGCGTTGATTATCATATGATATTCAAATCCATTGCGCCTTTGTCGCATTCGAGTCTAGTAACATATGCTGTCCATTTGCATGCCGGTCCCCGGGCTTCAGGAAACTCAAAACCCACGCCCTCGTCTCGGCTCTGCGGTAGGATTCACTATCCTACTACTGGAGCGGTGTCGGAACCCGAGCAGCCTACTGGTAGGAATTCGCGCAGCACAAGGCTCGGAGCGATCTGCACCGTCACAGTCACGCATCCTGCGCGCTTCGTAGTAGCCTCAGCTGGTTTTCAGGATCTTGACAACATTTTTGTTGTGGCGCTCAGTGCACAGTATGCTTCACGGTGAACACAGTCGGTTATTAATACACTAGTGATGTAAATTCATTTTTGCTGAATGGACACAATACACGCAGATGTGGTAAAATGGGGCATACATCCGAGCCTGTCTTGCAAAACAGAGCCACTTCCTACTGCTAATCCAATAGAGTAACTTCCTCGGTTTGGCCACTAGCAGCATGGTTCAAATAGAAAGGTCGGCGCAGTAACACGGTTCAGCTAGCCAGCTAAAGATCCTGCTTTGGACGCTAATCCCCACTTGTGTAACCAAAACTATCTATCCTATACTACACATCTCAGGATACGGGCAACTTGCTTTCACCAACACAGATCATGGCAGTACCTGCCGTGCGCCCGATGTCCATTAATCCCAAATGGTGCTAATGCAGCATCAAGCATCGCCCAAGGCAAGCCATAAGATTATAGCGTGTCGCCAAGCCCCATTGAACAGGGGGGCCCTGGTCATGGCCGACGCGTCGGACGGAGGCCATCATTGCCGCTTCCGGGATAGTCGGGCGACCCCGACGGTGCTGCCGACTCAGCAACACAGTTCAAAGTTACACAAAGATTTGTACTGAAACCCAAGATGTTAAATCATCTTGGGCAGACATCTAACCGCCATGCATTCCTGGTGTCGGTGAAAGACAATATGGCTGGTTTTCCAGTGAATAAATGTACAACAGCCACAGTTGACCGAAGCAGGTCGGGAGAATCCGCTGGTGTAGAATGAAAGGGATTTCACCTTAATCTCGCAAGCCCATAGGTAGAAACACATCGAAACTCATACTATCCGTGTGCCTATCGGAAATCCAGCTAGCGTGTACTTCGGTTACATTACGGGGAATGGAGCACAGTAGTACCCACATGTCCGGTCTGTCTTGTTTTCCGATAACATGGTGTGATAGATTTTCTGGTCCTAACGTTTCCTGGTTTTCGTTCTCTATAGCCGCTTCTGGCTAATAACACACGGAAATTATCTCCAATATACTTCGCACGCCAACTTGACATCCAGCCATAACCGGTTTCGTAGCTTGAGTAACCGGGCTTCGAAGTGGTTTCTTGCTTTACCGCTAACAGCCGGAAAATTGCTGGTCAGACGACGAGCCACTAGACTTTCAACGAGGCAAAAGAGTGACTGTTATTCTAATTCCGGTAGCCGAGAAGGGGCATTACCTATAGGTGTTGTTAGGTAGTATACCTGTCAGTCAAGTTCTGTGGGGTGACCAGTCATCACAGAAGGCACTGATAGGTATATTCTCGGTCCAGTTGAGTATAGAATTTCTTTCCGAAAGATAGGTGGCAATGGATCGGTAGACAGCTTTTTCCTCGTGGTAATAAATACAATGGATAGGATTTTGGTTACAGAGGCCGGCTCGGCGAGAACTACCTCATCCGTTATAGCTATATATGACACTTTCTGTCAATGGAAAGAAACGAAACAGATTTGATCTATCTAAATCTCAAGAGATTGGGCTGGATGATTGGAAGAAATGGTGGTCAGAGACCACGCAGAAATAAGAGCCGAAGGACCACCTGACCCTGGCTGGAGTGAATGTCTCAACACTTTCGTTAGGTTAGATGAATGTGGTATACTTCTCGGGGCCTTACTTCTTTAGCAACCACCTCAGTCATTTTATATCTTCACGCTGTGATCAGAGTTCCCAAATTCCCCTTTACACCAAGATAATAGTAGTTGTATCAATTCCTTCCCAGAAGTTCGGACCTTGCAAATCGCGGGGTCCACAGAGGAAGATTCCTGCTCTCCGATAACTGCCAGATGTCTCTGTCGGTAGCACAAGTAAGCCCAAAATGCGCCATGAACCATCAAAATCATAAAATGTCGGATCATCGGACTCGCACACATAGCTAGATATTAGAACCATGGACAACTGGGTAGGTTCCTGCTCTACTTCAAGGTGGTTGTCTTCACAGGTCGCATAATCTGTCCAGTCGAAGCGAAGATGGGCAAGGTACTCTCCATGGGCTGATGTAAGCTCAAGAGGAAAGTCGACATCGCCGAGGTTTGTTGTCCAGCCTTGATACATCTTTGTTGATGAAGGTAACACAAAGACTTTGGCCCGCAGTGAGATAAATCCGCTTTGTACTTGCCCATATCGATCCTGGCCCGTCGTTGTACTCATCGATGCGACTTCAAATTCAGGTTTGAGGCGGTAATGTCGAGGCCAGCTAACTGGATTGGATTGGGATACCCAGCTCCATGTGGGGGCCAAATACTCTTTTGGGGGTGTCAAGAAGGACTTTAGTGTTGTCAAACCGTGGGGGGCCCAGAGAAGATCAGTCTCAAGCTCGTCACTCCAAATGCCGGCGAGATATTTGCTATCGGTGTGTGACGAAAAATATCGAGCCAATGCAGATATTGCTGGCAATCTATCACGCGAGTACGAGAGATGGCGAGCGGAATACCCTTGGATCATATTGCGCCATCCAGATGGAGATAGGATTATGAGTCGGGATAGTTTATCAAGGTCGCGATTCTGGCCCCATGGCTGAGAAACTTCATCGAATGACATATCCTGTGACCGCCGAACTGGCACGACAAGCATATGCATCATTCGTGTGCCAAAGAGGAGTAGGCGAGGGCTACACAATGCTTCCTGAAGCGTCCAGCCACGAGTGTTCCATTGACTTTCCTTCAGATCGCAGTCAAAGGGAGATTGTTTAGAATGTGCAAGATCGCGATATTCTAAAAAATCCGGGTGTTCAGACTGACTCTCAAGGAGAGACTTGTCGTATTCTTCATCGTAGTACCCCGTGACGTGGTATATGTAGTAAGAGCCGGATATTGATGAGTTTAAAGTTGACTGAAAAGGGACTTTAATAAGATGTCGCTGTGGCTGAGTGAGAAAGCCGCTCTGGCATGAATTCCCCTGTAAGGCACACAGGGTAAAATACGAGTACATATATATTTCTGCCATCTTGGCTGACTCTCTTTCCCAGTCAGTGTGACTGTCCTGAATAATGCACAGTGCGTCCACCCAGAGATAGCGCACGCGCATTGCCCGGCAAACGAGAACCGCATCGGAGACAGTTTTCGGCAGAGATTCCATTTTAATCTCTTTCATATTCTCGCATAATGACGCCTTGGTTGTCTTGAGCTGCTTTGCTGCATCATCTTCACTGCCCCAGCAATAGCTGAGAGCAAGGTATTTGCCTCGACTTGCCCCTTTGTGGGACCCTTGGTTGACTACCAGGCGCATCTTTGAATGAGTTAGCCAATGGCCAACATCTATCACGCGAGTAGGAAGGTGTGGGTCTTTGGATAATTTGTATGACCTTTTTGCCATCTTGCGTAAGCGGGACCGGCTTTTATCAGAAATAGGATGGGATACGGGCGCTCTTTGAATGCGAAGCCAGCTTCTGCATGGATCTATCAGTGGGTCAGATGCGTATCATCATAAGCTGATGCTTGTTGGAGTGCATACCACCTATCTCAGCCTGCACATCGAAGCTGACTGTACATGAAAGGTCGCTAGTTTGATCCCCGACCAACTTAAAATGGACGGCAAGATGTGATAATGTAGAAAAGCACTCAAGAGACATCGCGACACGAATAGTGTAACGAAAGCAAAGCTTGTAGATTAACACACTCTTGTGCTTGGGATCTTCCTCGTGTTCGAGTTGGAGTATTTTCTCACGCATTGCAAAGCACATGCCACATCCGGATGCACTAGATGCCGACAACACAGGAAGATCAGGCAATTTGTCAAGCAGATAATAATTCAGGAGAATGGCTTGTGGTCGAAAATCATCCGTACACTGAGGCATAGCACCTTCCGGGTCAAACTTGTTAAAAATAACCTCGGGCTCGTCCCTTTTGTTTTCTACCACGGTCCCGTGTTCTTCATCATTAAATTGAAGGACTCTGCACCGCTGGCACAGTGAAGTAGAAATCGTCATTGCTGGACGCAGCGAAGAAAAGGGAATATGTGTTCACGTTCAATAGCAGCGTTCTCGGGTATCTGTTTGAAACGGAGGGGCAAGGTGACAGCTCACATTCCGCAACCTAACTAATAAGTTAGCTGCATTAACTTAGTAATCATTTAAATTTAACTAACTTGGACTGGAGACTACTAGTGGCTAACAGAGATCAATGTCCCAAGACGTGTCATAGGGTGCCAATGAGAATAACATACTAGGGTTATTTTCCTGGATGTTTTCTGAATCGACATCCCGTTCAAAATCGATTCATCCCTCTCTAATATGTCTCATCTCCTTGTGAGGCTCGTCCCCGTTCCTCGCTGCCATCGTGTAGGTATCTTCTGTCCTTGATTCTGTTGATTCTGGAAAGGCCGTCTCCATCGCCTTTCATTGTCTCCATGTGCTCCTTCTCCACCCATCCTGGCTTGTATCCACCACCGAAATAAATCACCCACGCATCTTCGTTCATATCTATCAACACATTATCAGGCTATACATCTCCCCAGACAATGTCAGCCTCATGCAGCAATTGCACAGTCGTAGTAATTTGCTCCTCCCATTTCCTCCGCTGCAAAATTGTGACTTCATCATGTAGTGCACATGAAAGGGTAAGATTGTCGCAGTCTACCAACGATAACAAAATACCGATAGCATGACGGCAGTGTTGAGCAGCATATACCACACCGATAAGTCGAGGTACACGCACTTGCGCATTATCGCTCAGCCCTTGCGTTTCCAATTTTCACGTACACACGAAGAGCTCCCGCTTGCTGCGGGGATCATTGAGGAAACATAAATTTCCATCGACACTAACCTTCCTTGGGTGCTTAGAATAGTCATATTGACCGTCGCTGACGCACTGTTGTACTTTTTCTGGTGTGTATTCGCTCCAACCGGGGTGAAGGGCCACGTCGCCTATGTAAACACCCGGTTCGCGTAGCGGCATTTGAACATCATAGTCGAACCGGGGTTCCATCCTCTCATCGACAAAGTAAAGCTGCAAGTAATATGTTTCCGGATCGAGGTATTCACGAAGTGTGAAAGCTCCTCCACCCAATGGCGGGGCTTGAACTTTAGCAAGAATAGGGAGGAATGGAGCTACAATCCAGTCATAGAATTCATCGTATGTGCCTTCGAAGTCTCGGTCCAGCATATCGTTGATAAATTGCGCGTACTTGGTGAAAGATAACTCTGAGTTGACGAAGTTCTTAGGGCATATTTCTACCCGAAAACGCTTGCCTTTGCACCCAATGTCGAGCCGTGCCCACAAGTCATGTCTGCCATAGAGGATGTCCTGGGCTCTCCAGATGGGAGTTGGGGCTGTCATTTTGGGTCCTATATGTTGACTGGAAACTTTTGGTGCAAAGAGTGATTGGTATGTGGGAGTGAAGGCTTGATAGTACGTAGGTTGTCGAATGGCGACCAGGCTTTCGGTGGATTGTACAACCTAGCGATCACAACCACTTAAAGAAGAGAGGGTTATTGTAGACTTGATTATATTCCTCCTTCTGCACATCCCTTACTCATTAAGGCTAGTGGAGTGCTCAGGACCACATCGTAGGCTAGCAGTGGTCAGAACTCTGTAATATTATAGCTGTAACTATTACGGCAAACATCCTCTCATGATCGGCACCCACCTTTTTCTGATCAAAGTTCTGTTTCGGAATATCCCGATAATAATGCAAGAGAGACGATTATTCTCCTCACTCAAGCGCTACATAAATGTCAATCCCGCCTGGTTATTTAAGTACCAACAGCAAACCAGCCACTATCGAAAGTATTAGCTACGGTCCAGCTTCCGCGTATCCCGTCCACAGATACTATTTGCAAAAAGCCAAGCACAATGTGTTACTCATCCCTCAGATTCCACCGTTGTGGCCACGTCTGGCAATGCATCACCACCTACTGCCCAGAAGCACGCCCAATTCCAGGCAGCAGACGATGTCAGCCGTGCTCTGAGCACAGCACGCGCGATTTTACCACCATTGGAGCACTCTGTACTCGAGAGGATTGTGTGACGAAGGACATGTGTGATAGGGGTTGGACCTGCTGTAAATGTGGACAGGACAACATCGTGCGTCACTATGTATGCAGTGGTCCGTCCTCCGCAGTAGGTGAAAGCCTTGGCGGAAGGAATCGCTGCATTCATGTTGTTTGCTTGGAGTGCCGATATACATCTACTCCTACGGAAGATACATACCCGATTCCCACAGATCGTTGAATGCGATGCTGACATGTCGTTGGATCAATACATACCTCCTCAATGAGGATCAGTATGGGTGGTCGATAGTGTATTGCTTGATTTAGCGGAGTTGCTAATCACTGGTTACTTGTGATGGGTCGCTACACTGCGTCTTTGTTGTTCTGATCAGCTACTAGTGTAGGCGTTCGATATACGGTTCTATCCGTGAATGACATTGTTAGAATCCGGCAATGAATGAATAGAAAGAAAAACACCCATCTCTCGCACAATTTCATTACTCCCAGAGGTAGTTCCCGTGGTGTAACGTTAAATAGTTTGGCAGTATGCTTAATGTGTGTGGCTGGCCGCTCTCCGACCGAATAAACCACATCTCTCCCTCACTTCTAAGTAATTATGAGCAAGGAAAGACGTAGCAGCACAATTGTGGCTGCGAAAGTGCCTCAAAACGCACTATATCAATAGTCTAAATAAATACTCTATCAAGAAAAACTATATAGTACAAACAATATGTACAAACACACCCAACCCACACCCCCATCCTCCGTACAAGGCCACCGACAAAATCCGACCTTTAAGAGATAACAGTAACATTATCACCCAGGTTTCTGCAATTCTTGGGCAAAGTAATAACGGCACCCTCACCCCTAGCTACATCCGAGTGATTATAAGTCGGGTTGAACGCCATGATCTGGCCCACAGTGGAGCCAAACTTGTCGGCTAGATCTTTGTAGGTGCCATAGATAAGTTGATACGGCTCAACCTCACACACACTAGGACTGCACTGAGGGACCTTCAGCTCATTGTTCACCTGCACCAGTGCATCAGGATCACTGACTCCACCCTGAGCAGTTGCGGAGACGGCGTCGACAGTGATGTTTAGTCTCAGGGCGATAGTGCGGATAGTGTCACCCTTCATGGTGTTGTAGGTGTGAGGACCACCGGAAACACAATCGGCGTAGTTGTTGTTATTGCTGGGGAAGAGCAGACACGTAGAGTTGTCGGGGGTGCAGGTCTCCGGGGGGATGAGTAGCTGTTCTCCTGTCAAGAAGGGGATCATGGCATCGGCCATGCGGTTGAGTCGTGCGATATCGCAGATTCCGCGGTTTACCGAGTTGGAGACGCTGGCCATGGTGTCGCCTTCTTGGACGGTGTAGAGACCGACGGTGCTGTTTAGGTGGGAGCGGTTGCAGGTCGGCGCTGCCGTGGCTGCCGATACCAGGAAAGGCAGTGCTGCGAGAGATAGGAAATGCATGGTAGAGGGATTAAAGTCAAATGAATGAATTTGTCAAAGAGCGACAAGGTTTCTAGTTAAGGGAGGGACTTTTTTGCTGTAGGATGAGCGGAGTGTAGTTGATAACATTTATGGGCGAGGTAGGTTACTTTCATGTTCATATAGGAGATTGCGTCCCGTCCATGGTCAGGTCGATGGGGATGATGCGTCCAATGTCGCAACCAGATAGTCGATGGAGGGAGCGCCAGCGATCACTTTCATACGCGTAAGCTTAAAGTACATTGCAGACTCGGAGATAATGGCTTCCCGCGGGGACGGCCCCGCAATGGCGAAGATCTTATCCCAACCGCGTACCCTCACAGTCGCCATCTGGGGCTCGGCCCCAAAATTTGCAAATTCCGGTGCTCATACTGGATGAAGATGAAATGAATGACGGGGCTGTGGTGTGAAACGAAGTGGATCTGAATAAGTGTGTGATGCATGTTGAAAAAGCTACGCTAGGGTAGTGGAAACCGATGGCTATCAATCCCCGGCAGTCGCGGGCAAGCTACTGGAAAGTGTGCCTGAAGAGGTAAAAGAGTATGCTCCTTCTGAAATGTTGTGGCGTTCGATTAGATTGACTTATCGACTGTCCCCCTTATCAATCCAGAGACAGCCTACTTCAGAGTTAAGGCAGGCGTGTGGTTTTCGGGGAGGGTGATTGCGAGCACAGAATTGACATGACATGGTCGTCAACACTTGCGTGGAAGAACTGAGGATCATATACTTAACGAGTAATACAGAGTCAATCAGAGACATAACGATCTTGGCAAGCCCCGGCATCCGCCCGGCAATGGCCACCAGGGTCCGCAGGGATGCCGATCCTTTCTGGCCCCGGATATTCACCCCGACTGAAATCTGCATTCGGGGCTACCTTGGTATATTTTGCGAAGGGCGGGACCGTATCCCCGACCTGCCGGCCCGGGCGCGCACGGCAATGACAACTTCCTTAATTAAGTATTGAACATTCAATATGAATGTAGTGGAGAAGAGCGAGCTGAATTTCCGTTCAATAGTACAATTAGAGCAACGTTGCTCAATTATCAAAGTGTTTCTTCGATGTTAATGCTGTTTCGCTGTTGCATTGGGTATCTGAAATATTCGAATATTTCAATCAAATACTGCTTATGTTACCTCATCACTACTTCCTGTGTTTCTGCTATTGTCAACTGATGCTATATTTCTGCTCACTGCGATCTATATGCTGTGTCGACTAGATAACCCTATTATCTTCCGTATACAGAAGATCTGCCTCGCACATTGGGAACAACACGAGCATGTAGATGTTGACCCGTCGGAGTTTGTCTACTTGTGAGGTACCTCCCATAAGCTAGGGGTTTCGGGCACGGTACCGACTATAGTCTACATGAATATCTCGCCAATTCGCCCGACATTTCAGACTACACTTACTCTACGACGGTCTCAGCTGCCCCTTCTCCCAACACTATCGGGCGTGGCTTTATACTCCACAGTCTATGTAGTCAATACTTTGGCACAATCACATCCTGAAACTGGGTGAAGGAGGCAGTCCACTTTTTGTGGTTTTGATTGTGAGTTGAGCGGCTCGAATGTCTCGGGTTAATTTGAGTTGTAACATGTAACGACGCGTCCATACCCACCTCGCTGATTCATTGCTGCAGATTTTCTAAGGTGTCCAGGATATGAAGAGATACTAAGAATGCTAAGTTCACTCTGTCGTGGCCGGGTGCTTACTGGTGAATTGACTAGAAGAGAATTGGTCAAAACTGATTCCATTCATCTGTTGTGACTCATCGAGTAATGGTGCTGTCCAACCATAGACTGGACACTCAATGAAATTAGCTCCAAGCATCTCAGTAGCCTGGAAGCAAATAAGCAATGTGCAAAAGAGTGACATTAAAATCAAAAACCCAATCTCATCAGCCGGTCCCGTAAGCCCAAAACAGCCGCTCATTCGAAAATCCCGGGATCACGGATGCGATAAAGCTCAATGACCAAAGCTCGACAGCAGGCTCTCCTTGTCAGACGCTCGGGTTACCACATGTTAGAAATCTTTGCGATTTATACGAGCGCCGCTGTTACGTCCGAATGCACTGTATTGCTAGTCATGTCTCTAGGCATCGTTCTTAGCAGGCACGGGCTCGGAAGAATGGACTTCGAAGGCAGGTGGGTAGTCCTGATGCTTGGAGAAGGAAAAGTCGACGGTAGGAGTGTAGTCGACCTGACGCTTCGAAGATCCAAGGCCGAAGTCAGGAGGGTAGCCCACCTAATGCTTTGAAGGATGGACCTCGAACGCAGGAGGGTAGTCCTGACGCTTCGAGTGCGGCTCAAGTGTAGGGTTATACTCCGTTGCTTCAGCCACGGCTTCCCCACGGTTTACGTTCATCTATTCATATTGATCAATTCGCAGTTGAATGAGATGGCTCCATGCATAATACTAATGTCGTGGGTCAAAGGGATCGCCATTGCCGCTGTGGCCATGGCCAGGATCATAGGGGTGAGCCGCATTATGTGCAAACTTTCAAAAATTGTCGAGTATTTGGATATACAGCCGTTTGTGAGTGGGAATAGTCTGGATTTCTGTATTGATAGTTGTGATACATACAAAGAGAGCACCACGGCATTATATATACCGCAGTGCTGTAGAACGACACCAATATACGCCGGCCTTCCCGCGCCAATGTAGTTGCCTATACCATTGAAGACGTGGTCAACAGGGGCGGATCTACTTTTTCTATGCTGCTGCGAAAGGAAGGAAATGCCCGCAGAAGCTCGGAAGCCATACCCGATTTCTAGTCTGCATCGTGCTTGCCCGAAGAGATGAGATGAGGGAAATGACCACCTCTTGACATGATACCAGCCACTCTGTAGTCGT